CTTTCAACTGCCCCGGGCAGGACCCTAATCTTCTTCTGCCTTTCTGATCATGGGTCATAAGAAGGGGTCCTGCCTCATACCCTGGAGGAAGGAATGCTGCACAGGGAGGCCAAAAAGAATCTGAACAGACAGACCTTGCTGGGTTTCCCCACTCAGTCTATTAGTATTAGATCATACAGTTTTTGTCCAATCACATTTCTACGTGGTTGTCAATCATGCCTTTCCAATGAAGGTTCCATAAAAGGCCCAAGAGGATAAGGGTTCTGAGAGCTTCTGGATAGCTGAGCACATGGATATTCCTGGAGGGCGGCTTGCCAGGGAAGGGCATAGAAGCTCTGCACCCCTTCTCACATGCCTTGACATGCCTTGCCCTGTGCATCTCTTCATCTATATCCTTTGTAATATTGTTCATAATAAACTGGTTAATGTAAGTGATTCCCTGAGTTCTTTGAGCCTCTCTGGCAAATTAATCAAATCTAAGAAGGGTGTTGTGAGATCCCCAATTGATAGACAGTTGGTCAGAAGCACAGGTAAAACAACCAGGGGCTTTCATTTGGCACCAGGAGTGAGAGGCAGTCTTGTGGGACTGAGCCCTTAACCGGTGGGATCTGATGCTATCTCCAGGTAGATCAAGTCAGAATGGAACTAGAGAATACCTACCTGGAGTCCACTGCAGAATTGATTGTTTGCTTGTTGGTGGGGAGAAATCCCCACATGTTTGGTCACAGAAGTCTTCTGTGTTGATTGTTGCTAAATCAGAGAATAAAAAACAACACTTTGTGTTTTTTCCACTCAGAGTATCTCTAATCTGAATATTTGAAATTTAAAATGCTCCAAAATCTGAAACATTTTGTGCACCAACATGATGCTCTAAGGAAATGTTCTTTGGAGCACTTTGGATTTTGGATTTTTGGATTAAGGATGCTCAATCAGTAATTATGCAAATATTCCAAAATTCAAAAGAATCCAAAATCTCAAACACTTCTGATCCCAAACATTTCAGATAAGGAATTCTCAACCTGTATATGAAAATGCTTATTTGATTCTTGTTAGTTTCCATGCTCCTGCGCGCTGGTAACTCATCAGTGAAAGAATGGAAATGTAGTTTTCCCTAGCATTTTGGATCTTTCTAACTGTCCATAAAACGTTGTCTTACAGAAAAATGGCTACTGGACAGGATCGGGTAGTTGCTCTTGTGGACATGGACTGTTTTTTTGTTCAAGTGGAGCAGCGGCAAAATCCCCATTTGAGGAATAAGCCCTGTGCAGTTGTACAGTACAAATCATGGAAGGGTGGTGGGTATGTATCACTGTTACTGTTATAATTATCAACTACTATTTTAATCTATGAGAATACAATAACACTGTGGTAGATCCTGTTTTAGAGAATTTTTTTTTTTTGAGACAGAGTCTCACTCTGTTGCCTGGGCTAGAGTGCTGTGGTGTCAGCCTAGCTCACAGCAACCTCAAACTCCTGGGCTCAAGCGATCCTACTGCCTCAGCCTCCTGAGTAGCTGGGACTACAGGGATGTGCTACCATGTAGTTGTCCAGATCATTTCTTTCTATTTTTTAGTAGAGACGGGGTCTCGCTCTTGCTCAGGCTGGTCTCGAACTCCTGAGCTCAAACAATCCGCCTGCCTCGGCCTCCCAGAGTGCTAGGATTACAGGCGTGAGCCACCGCGCCTGGCCTAATAAGAGATACTGATATCATATACTCCTCCCCCATATGGTACACTGAAAAGAGCACATCACTTCCATGATATTCTTGGCAAAAATGCATAACTTCACTCTAATCATGGGAAAACATTAGACAAACCCAAATTTAGAGACATTCTCAGAATTAATGACCAGTACTCTTCAAAAGTGTCAAGGTCATGAAAAACAAGGAAAGACTCAGAAGTGTCACAGATTGGAGGAGACTAAGGAGACATCATGAATAAATGCACTGTAGGATCATATATTGAATCCTGGAACAGCAAAAGGACAGTAGTGGAAAAACTGGTGAAATCCAATTAAAGTATATAGTTGAGTTAATAATATTATACAAATGTTCTCTTCTTAATTTTGATAATTGCACAATGTAAAATATTAGCATTAGGGGAAACTGGAATAGGAGATAAGTCTGAAAGTATTTCAATATAAAAAGTTAAAAATCTTTTCATGAATGCTACAATGTTTGTTATGTATCATTTTCTGCTTCTCTTTTCCCTGAATTTTATACTTGAGATATGTTTATCAACTAGATTAACTATGAGCTCTCTCCCCCAATGATGTACATTGTGATTTTTTTTTTTTTTTGAGACAGAGTCTCACTCTGTTGCTTCGGCTAGAGTGCCGTGGCGTCAGCCTAGCTCACAGCAACCTCAAACTCCTGGGCTCAAGCGATACTTCTGCCTCAGCCTCCCGAGTAACTGGGACTACAGGCATACGCCACCATGCCCGGCTAATTTTTTCTATGTATATTTTTAGTTGTCCAGATAATATCTTTCTATTTTTAGTAGAGACGGGGTCTTGCTCTTGCTCAGGCTGATCTTGAACTCCTGACCTCGAGCAATCCTCCTGCCTCGGCCTCCCAGACTGCTAGGATTGCAGGCGTGAGCCACCATGCCCGGCCTGTACATTGTGATTTTTAATATGCATTTCCCCACAACTAATGATGTCGAGCCCATTTTCATGTGCCTATTGGCCATTTGTATATCTTGTTTTATGAAGTGTTCAGGTCTTTTGAGAATGAATATTCTAAAGCTTTTAATACTTATTACCTTCATAAAATTGTACCAGTTTATTATGCTACCAGTACAGGTTGAGTATGTATAATATTATTCTATATGTATATTGGTTTTCATACATGTATTGGTTTTCATCCATGATTTCTGGCTCATAACTCCCACGGCCTTTGTTATAATGTTGGGGCCCTGCAGGCCTAATAAAACAGAATCTCT